ATGTGTTTTGAACATTATTTCGTCCAAGGATTTTTGAAACATGGATAAGTTACACTAGTGTGAAAGAAAATATTGTTTCCCAGTGAATATTGATAGATGACATGAACATCCAGTTGATAATTGTCTACCCTAAGCTATAAGTGATAATGCCTGATGCGTAATTAATATTAATTATCAAAATCAAAATATCGGAGAAGGGCCTTGAGAGGGCATTGATGTTTAGGTTGATCATTCAAAGGGCATTGATGTATAGGTTGATCATTCAACGTGTTCCTTTTGAAAATATACATGTACATATATGCCATTACTGTGAAATCTTATCATAACATTACCCCTAAAAATCCTTTGTATTATAAAGTGCTACCTAGAGCGAGAGGGAGAGAGGTGGAGGGAGAGGAAAGGAGAGGGAGCGAGAGTGCCAATAGGACGCCACTTAGAAGAAATCATTTTCGGAAATCTTTGTTTAACAGACAACAAAATTGATATTATGAAAATAAATGACAAGAATCTGCAATGTTTTACCCTCAAGAAAACATTTTTAAATCTTATCATTTATTACGTGTCTAGTCAATGGCCATACATGTGAAACACGATTTTCACCAATAAGTACGAATATAAAATCCTGTCGGCACAGTTTAAAAACTAATCAATTAAATATAAGTACATAGCTGAATATTTGTGGCAATTTAATCCATGTTCTGTCATGTTCCATCAAATTCTAATGGAATCGACATTTACGGTAGCAACAATACGTGAACCATCAATCAGATATGTCAGGCATTAACATAATCCTATTTTTTCAAGTTAAATCAATTTGTTGACTTTTTGTGGTTTGAGATTAACTTAGCCCACTTCCCCCGAACTCCCATGCAGTGTCTCGGTATAGACACTGCGGCGGGCAGACGAAGAAAATCCCCAAAATTTGGGGAAAATAGTTCCCTTTTTCATCATATATGTGGTCAATTTTCACACAACTTATAAAATATGTATTCATAAATGTTCCCCAAACATTATTTTGCCAAAATATTTCAAAATTATTGAAATATGAGAAGAAATCACCGCGGAAGGAATTCTGAGTAAAAGTTGTGTTGATAATAGTTTACCGCACGTGTTGTTTATCAGTTAATACGCGCAATTCAACCAATGAAATTGTCTAAATTTAACAATCACGCGACCTGAGCATGGGACTAGAACCAATCACGTCAGTTGTTTATTAGAAGTTACCATGCTTACGGTGAGATACCTGCCCGCCGCAGTGATATTATCACTGCACGGGAGTTCGCACTTCCCCTTGGTACAGACCCAATGCATCATGGGATATGAAGAAAACGTTTATTATCAGAAATATAACGTTTGTGATTATATATAATTTGTGAGATTTTTAGTTTTTATCCAATGGTTTTTACCATGTTGGATTCCCCTATCGACTACATCGAGTGTTTGAGCACTTTCTCTGATACCATTAGCGATAGTTGTTAACAGCCGATGCTACTTGACTTTGAGGTGTCCCTTGAAGTTAAGTACCACCAACTACCTTGTACAAACCCCTTGCTAAATAACAATATTTCGCAAAAAATTCCAGTTTTCAGTCAGTGGCATGAACAAGCCAAATGGTTACGATTTCTTATGAATTTTTTAAAAATCGATGTTACTTCCTTCAAAATTGAGCTAGAAGCTTCAAATTAAAAGCATTTTAAAGCTCATTTCTTCCTCTTTCTCATGGTGTATTTTTTTATGGAGGGAGCCATCGCACCCCACGGGCTACGCTTATGGCAGCGATAGCTAGGAATATCTTAAAAAGGCCCAACGAAGCTGTCACATCAGCCGCGTGGACCCACCGTTCACCACTGATAATAATTTTGCGCATTAATTTTTTAATTAGTTTTGGTATTTGGTGTGAGGGGGATATCTTGCAGTGGTGTACATGTACCTACATGTACGCAAAGTACGCGCGTGCGTTACAGGAAAATAAGATTTCCAGATGTATTTACCTTTCCAAGATAGTCACCGAAGTCTGAAGAACTAGAGGAAGTCCAAAATCTTATCCCGAGTAGGAATTTAGCAGAACATATTTGAAACGACATTGTTGCATTAAGGTGTTATATTTAATGAATATTCCATCCCGCATTCTGAATTCACGATGGAAGCATATATTCAACAACTATGATATACAAGATGGAGAAATGTACATGTCAAAATGAAAGATTACATGAACGTTACGTGCTTCTATTTCCTAAAGGAGGCCAAAAATAACATATAGCATCCTTTCTATCCCCCCTCCCCGACTACGCACATTCTTATTGTAAATAAATAACAACGGAGTCAGAGAACTTGAATACAATACTGTACCCATTTGATTTAATTTATTGTATCTACCCATTTGATTTAATTTATTGTATCTACCCATTTGATTTAATTTATCATATCGCCACCAATAAGTGATGACAAACTTTAAAGCCATCGTTTTTGTTACAGTGTAAAGGATCTTACTCCTCATTGGACCATATTTATTTTTTAAGTTTGGTTTGATGTCGGCGTTTTTATAGGTTGTATTTGCAACTTTTTGCAATTAATTGTTATTCCGTATCATTTATGATTTCATAATGTCCTCAATGACTTTATATTGTGTGTGTTTTTGTTACATTACAATGTTAGCATTTTGCATGTTTTGTAACCACCATAAGTGGAGTCTTAAAATAATTTTATGTTCACAGTAACCATGGATCATGTTCAGAATTTTTTGAACTGATCGTGTACTTTAAGTATCGGACAGGGGTTAGCTGAGGAGGGACATGACGTCATTTAAAAGAACTGAACCCAAATATGAACCCGGAGGACGAACGTTTCGAAAAAGCCCCCCTGGCCCCTGGGTCCATACTAACAAATTGAATTCTAGCTGACATTAGTACAATATTGTAACGTTAGAACTGACATTCAAGAATTTCGATTTTGGACTTTGTCATCATTGGACAATTGCCTTCATCATACACAGTGGCTGAAATGAGGAGCCCGCATGGGACCCAATGAAATGTTGGGCCCCAAATCTGCTTTTCCTCACATAAATGGGCAACGGAATATACTGGGAATTATTTTTTAATTTGGGGGTTAATTTTCAAGAAATTTGACCAACCATTTCAAAATTTAAGCCCAAATATTAAGGACGGAAATTGTTGACCCCCCTCCCATCTTGATTTTGGGAACCGCACTTGTCGTATGACGTTCTTTTTCTACATTCGAAGACTTTAAAATCGAGTTAATTTACACCAATATTAGTAAAATGGCAAACGTATATTGTGTCATCAAAATAGGAAAATACTGTTCCTCAATTTGATTCGAGGATCTACAGATGCAAAAGCCCACACGCACCAAGATCTGATCATATTTGGGATATGCTGGGTAATATAATTTACAAGATGGTCATATCGCTCTTCGTATCAAGCACGATATTTGCCACTGAGTGTCTCCATATGTAAACTATTTTTATTCAATTTTCTATTAATAAACTTTCTAAATATAAAAAGTGCAACGTTCAGTGGTACGTGTTTGTAAACATGGAGCCATTACACAAATTCTAAGACATGAATTGTATAAATTAGATAAATATTGACAAAGTGAGTAACATTTTAGGGGAAAGGTATACTTATATGAGCAATTCTCGACAAAACTAGTCTTGTATCAAACTCGTGTACCCCCTTGCACTACAAACACACTTTTTAAGGGTGGGGGGGGGGCAGACCCGGCAGAGGCTCGACGACCTGACACGACAACATTCCCATTTCCTATAATAAACACCAAATTGACAGGTGTACTAGGTTAGATCCCATCAACAAACATAATGTGGATTGTTTAAAAGACATTAATGAATTATGGATTCGTCCAATAGATTTATGCATTTATGTTTTCGTACTCGGATTTCCTTACGATTTGATATTTTTTTAGTAGACTTTATACAAAATATTTTCAGCATTCATTTGTGAATTCCTATGGTATTGGTTTCGTCAGCGTTTTCGTTCCTTCGTTTTGTCTTAGAAGATTTTTATTCTTTTTTCGCTATTGCTGAAAATTTTTAATCCATTTTCATAAATGAGAATTGGCTTCCTTAGCCTTCAAAAATGAAGATTTAGTAATGCACAAATTCACTCTACTATACCTAACCCCTAGAAATGTCCAATTGTATTGTTTAGTATATTTTTGAAAGTACCTTATTAACATCTAACAGTCTTCCGATAAACCATTCACAAGGAACAAACAAATAAAAGCAAATAACATAATCATTACTACTAAGCAAAATGTGTTGCTTATGAACACTAAATGCAAGGTATAGTGGAGTGATTATTCTCAAAATGAATGTGTTTAAAACTTGTGCATGAGATGTGTTTCAGAATAAATTAAAATGCTTGTGGTTAATCCTTACAAAATATTCAATCTTCCTGTTTGATTCTACTTCACCTGAAAATATTTCGCAACAAAAACGCTTACATTATTAAACATTTCTACGGTTTCGATAATGTCATTAGTTGTTACGCGCTTGTAATTTTATTTTGTATATTTTTAACGCATTCACTTTAAAAACGGGAAGTGTTATATTTTAGGTTTGAAATGTAAAACAAAACGTGATTTAATAGTTTCAGTCTGGGGAATAAGACATAATTCAAACCATCCAGATGATTAAGGGGTAGCATTAAGGGCACCTATGTTGTTAAATTTAACTTTAAACGAGCTTACATTAAACAATATAGCTAAGCAATCTACAAAATTACTTTGGCCACTTAGTATAAAAAGGAAATTAACTTAAAGAATTAGCCAATCAAGTGCGTGTGATTCATTGAATATAATCGACGGCATTATTCGGATGAAAAGTTTGAGAATTAATTTTAAGATTTTTAAACATCGTTTTTGTAATAGTGAAAATAGAATAAAATTATTATAAATAAAAACTTGACAAAAACGCAAATAACAAAACGATTTCAAATTTCGATTATCAAAGTAAATAATAAAAAATGGAGTTAGACGAGGCTTTGATGAAATTGGGAAAATTTGGCAAATGGCAAATGCAAATGTGGATCATCATTTGTATCAGTTTTAATTGGACGTACGCCTGGCATTTCTTTGCAATCGTCTTTATTGGTGAGTATATATTTTATTTATCTACTAGCATGAAAAGATGCATCAAAAACACTTGCGTATGATTTATTAAAGCAATAATTATGTAAAGGAATAAGTAGAGATACAAAGTGTAAAATATTTGAAGCAATTTTTTTCTATAGAAGATTTTTAGTATTTTTTTAGAAAAGAATTGAGATATGATCAAACATAGAACTGAAGGATATGCGCCAAAATTCATAATAATTGATTAAGAAATTTTGTGGCAGATAAACCTAGCAATCTAAAGGGTTATCCTAAAATAAAGTCGGGGTGTTGGATTTCTGAAGACCAGGAATGAAGCGTTTCCTAAAACTGTAAGTTTGAATTGAGGCTTTTCATATTGAAATCTCGTTAAAGTCTCGTTTTAATTCGAGGGTCACAATTTTAATGTTAAATCACAATCCACATGTCAACAAGGTCATAGTCACATGCCAATGGATTTCACATGAATCCAAATGGAAACATTTGAAAAGGTGATTTTCTGCATGGAGTCTCTGTATACTTGTAATGGTATTCTAGCCCTACCAACTCTCACACTGCCATCTATTGATCCTTCTCTATATATATCTGTATAGAAAATGGTCAATTTAACAAGAAGGATGTGGATGGTGGGTTGAATTTAAAAGAACTCTTCTGTTTCACCAGACCTCAGTATTGCTGAGACTTGAAGAAAACTTTTTTTAAGAAATCTCAATATTCAATATTTAAACAAGTGTGGGGGGAGATTTCTTTCAAAATCGTGCAATCTTTCAGTTTTTGAGCATTTTCAAGTGATTTTTGGCCAAAATGTTTTGGTCACATTTGAATCCCCGACATTTTTAAAAACTGAACTCCCACTTGGCAAAAAGCTCGCCACGTTCCTGACACTCGCAAAAGTTTACCAATTTTAAATGAATACCGTACACCTCTCCATTGAAAGATTGGCAATCCGTCAGATTTAAAGCCCGTTTACACATGCTATGCAAATTTTGCATACAATGATATTTAAAATTTGATGGAGTTTTTAAAAGCACACAGCATACATGTATACGAGTATACGAGTTTCACCTCTTTAACAAAATTGGAAAACTTAAAGTTAAATTTCAACTTTATTTGAGCCAAATAAATTAATCTTAAACTATGTATACATGTACTTCTCTATCATAATATGCAAATATCCTCATAAAATATAAAAATATTATATGCATTATTGAAATCATAATCATGAAAATAATATGAAAATCCTTACAATTAAGCAAGTTTTCAATGAATAAATCGAGGTTGCCAGACTTTTGATTTGGAGGGTAGTGAACCAACTATTACAATCATGTATCAATTTTTATTGAGTCAATAGCTTTTCTAGAGTAAAGCTAATATAATGGAACTCCTTTAAAATAGACGTAATGTGATGCTGTCGAAGCTATTTAGTTACTGTAAACGACACGGAGTAATACGATAATGCTTAAAGCATCGGATAACAATAGCTTATCTCATCACCTAGGTGATCAGAAAAGGTACAATAATCTAAACTTATACATCGATACAGATCTTGCATTTTGTCACGTTTTAAATATCAAATTTTGAAAAAATACGGATTCTGAAGTATGTACTTGAATAAAACAATCTTCTATTTGACGTCGCATTCTTTTAAACACATCTGGTTTCCTTCTTAGACTTCGACTTGATTTCTTTTTAACATTCCAACAAACGAGAGAATGCCAAATCAAATGTATATATACATCCGATTCCTCAATATTTCCACTTTTTGGTCATCCTTCGTATAAATATGATGATTCATGAACTGGAGATCAGAAGTGGGGCTTGAGACAGGCAATTAAAATTTGACGGGACTACACCCCCTGGAACCGTCAATCAAAATCCATCATCCATCTACCTATAGATTCATCTATGTTAAACCAGAGACATATTATAACATTATTTTATGTCTCTGGTTAAACACATGTGCAATGTAAGTGGCGACATGTATTGCTTGATTGAAAATTGACAGCATATTGATTGATGTGTCAAATGCATTGATGTGTCAAATGCATGCTCAAATTTAAAAATTAGCTTCGTCATTATTACTCAACTTGTCTGGAAAGGCAACTAATTTGACAATTTGATTTCTATGGCAAACACTTAGTTGTAAAACTTTTGAGTGCCCGGAGTGACATCTATCGGCAACATAACTTTTACGAAACTGACCATGATCATTATGATAAACCATGACATCTCATTTCTTCTCAGCCCTGAGATGTTTCAGGTGAAACAGAAAGAATAGATGCTATAAGTATCAGAATGATGATAACGAGCGTCGTCACTAGTCATTTATTAATATGCAGGCCCGTTACAAGGGGGGTTATAAAAATGTTGCCCAAAGTTGACAATTATTGCCCAAAATCACTTGCTCAAATGGTGAAAAAATTGTGTTATTGGTTTACCCTGTAATAAATATATAAAAAGCAGGAAAACAATCAAATTACATAGAATATATGCTGACACCTTCTGCAAAATAGTTCAGCGCTTAAGTTGGGACGTGGGACATACATGATATATAATCCTGTATGAAAGTAAACATTTGAACAGTAAGGTAACCGGATTGTTCATTTTATTCGGACTACCCTAACCCCAATACAGTCATTGACCAGGGTACTAAAACCCAGAGACAAAATACAAAGGTAAAGCGAATATATATTTTATTTTTTTCTCTTATTTGTCTAATCATTTAAAGCGTTCTCAAGGAGGTCGTAACGACGTCAATTTGTTTGTGTAATTACACTCGAAACCACAAACTTTTACTTTCAACTTTGACAACTTTTATTTACAGAACTGTAAACTTTGGATTGATCGGCATGATAGAAGTCAATAATTAGTCTATATTCCCAGTGACAGTTTATATATAATCCTAAAATATTGTTTCGCACCTTTTGATTTTATGAATAGAGGAAGGAAATGGGTGTACGGACTTGAGGCATAACGTGCATCATGATAAACAGTGACATCTCATTTCTTCTCAGCCCTGATATTTCAGGTGAAAGATGTTACGAGTATCAGAATGCATAACGTACACAGAAAATGGCCCTGGTGACCCCAAATCTCCATATATATTATATACTCGTGTATCCCCGTATAACATGGGCTTAGCGCTATTTTTCTAAGTAGTACGCCTCCACCACAAGAACAAGAGTTGGCTGAATAAAAAAACAAGCATTCAGGGGATTTGGCTGTATTTGGAGCGAATTTGCAACCATCTGGTATGCCTGTGCATCTGCATATGACCTAAAATCATAGAATTAGAGGTGCTATGCAATAGTATACAACGTTATTGCAACACAAAACAATGCGATACATTTGTAATATAACTAAATAATTAAAATATAATACAATACCATAAAAATGTGTATATGTCTATGTTTTTACTCCCATATCATTCCCAACATTCATTTTTCATTTTTAAATTCAAGTATCACACCCTGTTGTAGCCATGAATAAAATATTATGGTAGCGCATTCGCCTTAAAATGCAAAACAGAGTTTAAAAGAGAGAAATAAGCGTGAAATAGAGCAATTTTTTTTATTTGACACTCTTAATTGTATGAAAACGTCAGAAAATTAGACATCTTATGCGTGATTTTAAAACAAGCCTAAGACATTTTAAAAACTGTCGTAAATCTTGAACGCTCTAGATCTGATTTGGGAGATATGGTAGATTTTCAAGATAAAATCAATTTAATTGAACCAAGAATAACTTTAATTGGATTATAAAAGAGTTTGTACCGATTAAAAGTCAACCATAACCCAAGAGAAACAACAGCGTGAACTTTTTAAAACCGATTGAAAAAAACTAAAAAAAAACTGAAAAATCTTATGAGAACAAATAAAAAATCTAAATATTAAAAATAGCCCATTAGATTTGGAAAACACGATAAATTCTGGAAAAACACACCTTCAAGATCAGTTATGGAATTAGAAGAGGCTCTATTGCGGTTAGGGAAATATGGAAAATGGCAGATTTCAATGTGGGCGTTGATATGCGTTAGTTACAACTGGCCTTACGCGTGGCATTTTTTCGCAATAGTTTTCATGGGTAAGTTTGTAAAGCAGTAGATTCACTATCTCTAATTGTTTAAATGATCTTAAAACCTAAAATATGAGTAACAAACTGTGAAATCTAGAAATGGACAAAATATTAGTATGTATTTCTCTTTAAGTCTGAAATTTAAAATTGGCAAAAAAATCATATTTTCTTTTTTTCTGCTGTTAACATGCTTTTAAGACCTCATGCAATGTTTAGAAAATATATTACCATTCGAGTTTCAACTTCGATGACTTTAATTTCTGTAAAATTAATTCTGTCCTTTTCGAATCATTTGAAAATCATAGCTCCTCGATAACTTCAAAAAACGTTCCATCATTAAATGCATTTATTATATACCTCAAATGTATTCTAGATGCTCATTGGCTTATTCATGGTCACATGACATGGAATAGATGAACTAATTCCCTTCCCTGGAGAGTCCTAAATCCCTGCTTTCAGGGAAGATGAATTGTACTAATCACCAGTTAGGTCATGTGACCAGTCAATAGTACATTTTATCTTCCCCCAAATCTGAGATTATAGGAGTTGAAAGGTAAAATGCCTTTAAATGCCAATAAGAACCTGTGAACATTTGATATTGAAATGAAGACTTCTCATTTTGTTTTTGTTTACAGAGTACTTATCAGGTATATAATAAAACAAATAGTGACTGCCACATTTTTGGGAAATAGTGTAAAAATTTTCCTCTCGGGAATATCCTGTCCACTGACTTGTTCCCTCGGCCTGCAGCCTCGGGAACATGTCAGTGGACAGGATATTCCCTTGAGGAAAATATTTTGCACTATTTCCTTCAATGGCAGTCACTATTTGTACAATATTTACCTTAGTATGATTGTACTGGCATTCTCTCCTATATATACTTATAGTGCTAATATATCCGAGAGGTCATTTTGAATTGAAAGTAGGTCAATATATCACAGTTCATTTAACAATCTTAATCGTATTAAGAAAAAGAGGCCATTTGCATTAAAATGCCCATGAGAAAGAAGTGTGCTGGATGTATAGCACGAGAACTAATAGTAACGCTTTCTCTAATAGAATAGAGAGTGTATATAAAATGTTGGACGCACTTTTAAAAAATCATTTCAGTATTTTTTAGTATTCTTATTTTCTGAGGAAGGAATTCAAAGCACCAGGTACAGCAAGGAAAATGCGTTCAAACTGTCATATCTTTCACCATAAGTATTTTCTCAATTTGAAATATGAAATTTCTGATTATCAAAATATGATCACAAGGATAGTAAAAATATCAATCAAACAGTTCGAAAAATAATTAATTGGGGCCCTAAATATGTCAACATTTTTCTTCAAAATGTTGAACCTATTTACTCAAAAGAGGATCTTCTTTTATGATTTTTATTACATGAAAAGATTTTTCAACAAGGGGTATAAAACAAGGTCGCCCTTTTTGAAATGAAACCTTACATCTTTTAAAAAAGTGACAAGGTGGGGTCCTTATCCATAACTTTTCAGTGAGTTGGATTGATATTTTTGTAATCAGGGGGATTAACTAAAAGGAAAAAATATTGTTTCAATAAAAAACACTATATTCCTGGTCAGAAAGTACCCATGGTAAAATATATGACTGTCCAAAATCACTTAGCAAACTATATCTGGTCCTTTCTGACCAAGCCTAGAAGTAATCGGAGTAATGTTTTTTATCAAGAGATTTTATTGCCATATATCATTATACATATCATAGTACATATCATACATGATGTAGTAATTATAGTTTGTAAACATGGTTTATACACAGTTATATATTAGATGAAAAATAATAAAGAAAGTATCTGCATAAATATATATACATATATACATTGGGGTTTGGGGGGCTGCTGTCTCTGCTTATGGGGTCCTAGAAACAAAGATATAGTAATATGAGTTTGGAAAAGAGGTTCAAAAATAGGTATGACATGGAATACTGAGAGTTCAGAATTTAACTCTACCTGTTACTGTTCCTTTTAGTCCCTGTATTGTACACGGTAACCATAAACAGTGGTCGATAGATAGCAGATAGTTTTACCTCGTTTTCACGATTCCAGGGAATATTTGTGCCAAAAATATGTCTATATATAAGTTCTCTTTTCTAAGTCAAAAATATCATTCCAATCGTCTTCCATGAACAAACAAGGAATTAATATGACAAAATGTCACCACCTTGTTGCTCACAATATTATAAGTTCAATCTAAAGTCAGATTTAAATTTCTGAGAACTTGTAGATGATTTTAAAAATAAAAATTGGTCAATTTGAAGCAATCCTTTTTTGAGAAGGTCACTTAAGGTGAAATCTCAAATCTAAACTTGTAGATGCATTTCAAAAATTTCTCGATTTGAAGCAAGTTGAAAAAAGACCTTTTTGACCTTGAGAAGGTCAAATATTTTTTCGACCTTGAGAATGTCATTGAAGATCAAATCTATAGTCAGATTTGAACTTTTGAGAATTGCTAGATGATTTTGAAAAAATTTGTCAATTTGAAGCAAGTTGAAAAATACCTATTTGAGCTTTTTTGACCTTGAGAAGGTCAATGAAGGTAAAAAACTTAAATATAAAGTCAGATTTGAACTTCTGATAACTTGTAGATGATTTGAAAAAACTGAAGTCAGTCTAAACAGTATTTGTTAAGTTATTGGAAGTTTTAAGAATTGTTACAGACGCCAACCACTTTTTATGTCACCACTTTTTGGTAGTGACATAGAAACAGTAATGATTGGCAATAATTATAAGTTTGATAAATGGGACATGGCATTTAGTATTTTTTTGGCTACTAAATTTTATGGAACAAGTTCAATATGTTATCCATTGATCTAGGTCATGTATATGGAAAATAAGTTATATTGCATATAGATGTTAAAGAAATTATAATATTTTTATTAATAAGTTTATTGGTCTCTTGAACACATTTAAGGTACATCCAGATAGTCCAATAAAGCAAATAACAAATAAAACTTCCAAGTCATGCATGGCAAAACATAATAATCACAATCCGATTTAATAATCACTTAGTAGTACAAAATGCTTTAACATCAATTTAGTTTAAAAAAACTTAAATGTAATTTTATGAACTCTTGTAAAATAATCACCAATTGTTTCATTGATCGTATCATCATGCGCTATCAAAGAGTATAAAAATAAACTATTTGTATTGAAATGAGAATAGTTCTGATTTTAGACCACGTCGAACTGTAAAACGTCCTTTAATTTAAATAAATTTTACATGCTACAAGTACGTGTTTAAATAGAAATAAAGTGCAAAGTAAAACACATAATTAAATACAAACATTGCCAAGAGCACTTCACAGACCCGGGACGCTAACGTTCTATCGCTAGACACATTTCAATTTCTTACTTAAAATTGTTGCCCGGTCTTAAATAATTCAAATCTATTTTCAGATTCAAGGACTCTCCATGTCTATAATAAATCCTTAACAGAATGTTACGTTGGTTTTAATTCTGTTCGATTTGATATCTACAAATTGTTTTTTTTCGATTCGTGTTTTAATTGTTATACGGTCTTAAATAGTTCAAATCTATTTAGAGATTCAAGAACTCTCGAAGTCGATATAAAATATTTTAAAATCACGATTTTTGTCGTATCCATCAATCACCTATCATATCGAAAATAGGTTCATCGTACAATAGATTTGTATTGTATGTTTAACAACTCAAATGATATTCGTGAATCTTTTTGTCGATTCGACCGCTATGTATTTATCAAATCAAATAGCATTGTTTATCTTCAAAAACGTACATATTGGAGGTTGATGATTCTATATGACAGATTTTTTGATTTTATTGAATGTTTCTCCTTTACAGGTCCTTGTAATGAAAAGCCACCCATTTATTCTAAAAAGTGGAGGAACAAACCCATAATTTGATATTTTTATACTTCTAGGTGAGATCCCAAATGAGTTTTATTGTAAGTTTAACGATACCGTCCAAAGCCTAAATGACACCATCCCCCGGGTTGACCTCGGTGACGGCCTCTCGGGGTGGGCCCAATGTGAAAAGTTCATATATCCCGGGGATTACACTGATCGAAACACTACACAGTGCGACAACGGGTATAGTTACAATAAACCCCGGGAAGAGTTGGAGACAATGGTCACAGAGGTCAGTTGAATATATCTAAAAATATCAAAAATATTTATATAATGCTACAAAAGTATGCGAAAAGTAATAATGATAAATTAGGATTACATGAATATCTAAATACTACATTTATAGGAACTGGAGATTTCACTTGCTTGTACGATTAGAAAACATATTATAATGCTAACTGTTTTTGCTAATTATTTTTTTTATTAAAAAACTAGTCATACGCCAATACTGATTAAAGGCCGAGTTCCGGGAAATATTAACACAATTGAACATGTTGAACAACTAATATACATACTTTCTGTGGCTTGGTTGAATGGCTATTAATCCCAAGTTCCGATGTGCCTCATCAAGAAGACGATAGAGTGACAAAGATTATGTCAAGCGGGGTTTATAATTTTTGTGCAAATTTTCTTCTTGGATCGAAAAATTTCATTTTAATTCGATTAACTTACGATAGGTGGCAAAAGGTCTAAAGGTAGGTCACGTGACACAAAACAACGAATCATATGACACGAAACAATGATTCATTCGCCAGATGGCGCAGTTAAATGAGGTCAATTTTACGACAAACGAAAACCGTTTAGCTCAGCTTCAATTTTGCTCTCGCAGTCGAACGAAACTGACACTTCTTTCGTTGATATCTAGGTGAGTGATTTTTTCAGGCTCCGGTATTTTGACAAAAGTAAGTTCACGTCGTAGCCATTCTTAGGGGCAGGTTTGAGGCACCAACGATTTATTTTGAAGTTTTTCTAAGGAATTATTCCCGATTTCCGATATTGTCCCTTTAAGGCATTTATTATAAAACACATTTACCAGCTCTAAAATGTATTTTCTCACTCAATTTTCATTTTATTATTTCCACAGTGGGATCTCGTGTGTGATCGTGAAATCATGATCACTAACGTCCATACAGTCTTCGTTGTCGGCCTCATGTTGGGCGGGATCGTCTTCACTGCTCTTTCGGACAAGCTCGGACGCAAACCGATCCACGTTTTCTGTCATTTTCTCACAGGAGCTGCAGGGATATCAAGCGCTGTTGTGCCCGATTATTACATCTTTATGGGACTTAGCTTCGTCCGTGGGTTTGCATTGCAGGTTTGTTTCCTTGTTGTTTATAAAGTTATACATAGCCCTCCGAAATTTTGACAGCTCCTTCCCTTGCACAGCCAATTAATAGATAGTAAAATTCAAATTGTTTTTGAAACTTTTTTAAAACTTTAAAACCCGGCGCACATTTACAAGAATTCTCAATTCTTATTTGTAGGGGATAATGCTTACTGGAGTAGTCGTCGCGGCTGAACTTTTCCCAAGTGTCATGCGACTAAAGATGGCGACATGTGTTCAGTTTTTCTGGGGCACGGGACTCATGGGATTGGCCCTCTGGGCATATTTTCTCCCTAATTGGAGAACAATGCTTATTGGGATATCCATACCCTCCTTCTTTGCACTAGTTTTAATATGGTAAGTTCTTCAATTCCTTAATTCTCCGACCACATGGGAGGGATATAGAGGGTGTCAAATAATTATGTTCTCCCTCCCCCTTAGCTTTAACATATTAAAACCAGGCGTCATAGATAGACTCCACACGAAGTTTTAAATGAAAAAGAATTAGTATGAATATCTAAGCACGAGTGCCAAAGAGAAAGGACCAAAAGTTGTAATGGAACTTAGCAAGAAAAAGCAAACTCTTAGTGCATACCAGTCAAGAAAAACAAACCCCATATATCCCAAAACCATGATCTAACGTGAAAAGAAACAATGTCTAATACCCCCTTTCCCCCACCATTCAAGAACCGATATCACAATCCAAGACCAGAACACCAAGGGACATTTCATTCATACTGAAGTCATAACAATACATGTTGAAGAAAAAAATTGAAATTGATATCCAATACTCATAACATCAAAAATAGTTGTTGATACAAGTACTCATACAAGAGTACTGAGCATTCAGTCTCAAATGATGTGGGATAGATAAAATCCAGTCTCCATGACATTTATTTGACACCCTATACATGTATTTATAATACAAGCCAATAAATCAATGTATTTTACTTAGATTTAGTATGCTCATAAAATCAATGTATTAGGCCTATACTTAATTGGTCAAAAAATGATTAAATCTTTATTATTTTATCAGCGTAACTAATGTTATCATTATGGATGACGACGAACTAGGTTCTTGAATATTTGTTTCAGTATTATTCCCGAATCTATGGTTTGGTTAATATCTACGGACAAACCGGAAAAAGCCGAACGAATCCTAAGACGTGCTTCACTGACGAACAACATCGACGACATGCCCGCACAAATTTTGACCCCAAGACGAGGCTCGGGCACCGGAAGTACTGGAGGTGTGTCTAATGGTAGTTTGCCTGGGAAGAAGGGATCTATTGCGAGTGGTGGGTCATCTCTAAAATTTACAGACCTGTTTAAAACAAATAAGATGCGCACGATTACAATAGTTACGATCTTATATTGGTAAGTGTACATGTATTTATTATTTCATTTAAAGAGAGAATCAGATCTAGCGAGCAGCCTAACAAAAAATTGTTTCAATTTTAGAATATTTCTGGCTTATTATGTCATTCCTTTTCATGTATATTTTCTAAAATCCCCATTCAGAATTGTAATAGATAAACTGATGTTTTTCTTAATGATAATGAAATTGCCAATCAAAAATATTTACAAACAAATCCTCATATTTCGAGCCACCGAATTAGAGCATAATGATAATATCGGAGTTGTATCTCCTATTCATACGATTTGGAATACTCTGATAAGGTTCAATTTGTTGGACACGGCAAAGAACATGTTAAACACTGGTATTTATCCCTCAAAATCAGAGTGGCACAAGTTAGTATTAGGACGGGTAAGATACACTCAGAAACTTAACTTAATGATTAACTGTACTTTGAAATATTCTACCCATTTGTATATTCGAATAAGATGTTCATTTAAACCACTAATCTGGTGGGTACTGTGCAACAGATATCCTGATAAATGCATGTATTTTAAACTAATGGTTAAGCTCTTAACAAACCAAACACTGAATGGAAACAATAAATGGGGCAATAAAAAATGCCTTATATGTAATTCTGGTGAGATTGAGACATTAGAACATTTTACTATATTTTGTAGCTCTCTAGATGCTGAAAGGGTAGCTCTACTAGCACTTTTTAAAATGGGAGAAGATAATGTACTCCAGATTTTTAAAGAGGATGATGATTTTAATATGATTTTAAAGGCCAAGGCAATTTATTTTATGTATAAAAAACGCAACATGTTGATGTAAATATGTTTGGACAAAATATTGAAAATTGTAATGTACTCACATAGTAATAATGTGGTAATAAAGGATACAATACAATACAATACAAAGTGACACTTTATTTGAGGAAAACTAAAGATTTCTACAATAATGTATTATTATTCTATAAGAATGGTTACCATTCTTATTATTTGGGAGAATTTAAACATTTTCACCCATTTTTGAACTTTTGAATCCATTATAACTTCACCAATTTATAACATATCGTGAATCTTTTGGGATTGTAAGGAACAGATTGGTAGGTCAATTATACATATTAATTTTGTCACCCCCATAGATCTAATTCTGCCTTTAAAGCAATACGTGTAACATTTATTGGCGGAATGCCGCTTGGAGGTAGTCGTTAGTTCAACTCCCGTATCCTACACTGATATTTGCTTCAGAATAAAGAATATGTCATGTTACAATTTTATAAAATTCTCGTGAGCTATTTTTTGATTGTGTTATTAAATTATTTTCATTGCAAAATGGTCAAAATATTTGCATGGAGATGATTATACCTATAACATATTTATTCTTCAGGTTCTTCACTAACGTCACCTACTTTGGCGTGTCACTGGGAACAGGAGCTTTAGAGGGAGATTCTTATGTGAACTTCGCTATCAACGGGGCAGTGGAGATTCCAGCAGCTATTATATGTCTTTTTGTTCTCCCGAGGTATCATCAATTCTACCATCTCGAGAGTCAGATGTTTATGAATTCCAAAGCCTAAATTTATGCTTTACTTAAATAGTTATGGCTGGTAAAGTGGTAATAGACCGATCAAAAGCTTTTGAAAATAGTAATGCCCACATTGTCGGACTGATTATAGTTAACTTTCGACGATATAATAGGGAGCTTGCAATGTTTTACACAACCTAGTCAACCGAAAATATTTAAGCGATGCATTTTTATGGGCGATTGGTCATACGTATAGGTTGGAGTTTCGACTTTATATGCAGGCTTAAACTCCCTATTATTGGTGTATTGTTACCTTCTATCTTGTATCATAGTCTTTGAATTCGGGCTTAAATCCATCAATAAAATATTTTTAGATTCGGACGAACTCGGCCTTTACTGGTGTTCCACAGTATTTGTGGCGCTGCACTTATTGCTCAAGCCTTCACACCTAAGTTCGTTGACAATGGAGGTAGGTCTCCAATTTTTACCCGGGTGTTTATTCTTACAAACGTAGACGTTACTGGGTAAATTGGAATATAGATATTAACGTTGGATTGAATTAAGCTTTTAATATACACATTTGAATGAATTAAGCTGTCAATGTTCACATTTGAATGAATTAAGCTGTCAATGTTCACATTGGGTTGAATTAAGCTGTCAATGTTCACATTTGAATGAATTAAGCTGTCAATGTTCACATTTGAATGAATTAAGCTATCAATGTACACATTTGAATGAATTAAGCTGTCAATGTTCACATTTGAATGAATTAAGCTATTAATGTACACATTTGAATGTTTTAAGCTATTAATGCATGAATGTATTAAGCTATAAATGTACACAAAATGTATTTCAACTGTTGATGTTCATTTATGTTATGAAACGTTAAAATAACCACGTTGACATATTTTTTTCAAGATGGCACAAGGACCGATCTAGGCCCACTACTTCTAACGTTCTATTTCATCGCTAAATTTGCCATCAGTGGATGTTACCTCATCACGCTGTTCTTCACACCGGAACTCTTCCCGACTGCACTCAGGTACATGGTGGTCCATGGTTATTTGTTAGGTTAAGCTACGATATATGATTATGTTTCTCTCACTGTCATCCTAGTTTTATTATCTAAAAAGAATTAAGAATTGTCATTATCATTATTTTTGTTAATTTTCTTTAATTGATTTTTTTCAGGAACTTGTGTCTTGGATTGGCGTCAACTTCTGGAATCATTGGTGCAACAGTAGCCCCTTATATCTCATACCTGGTATGTGGACATCAACCTATGTCGATATAGTAAAATGAATGCCTTCTAAACTAGCACTAAAACCCCTAGAACTTGCCCGGCAAGGTGGTAATAATATCTAATAATGAGTATAGATATCGCACATGTTCCATCCCAACTTCACCCATTAATATACTCACTTCACATATTGTTTCTGCACCCAACTTTACCTTTCTTTGCATTTTACTTCACATATTGTATCTGCACCCAACTTTACATTTCTTTGCATTTTACTTTACATATTGTATCTGAACCATTCTTTTACCATTTATCTGTATTTAACTTCACATATTTTATTCGCACTCAAATTGCAATATCATAATAAACTTTAACTACACCTTGCGTCTACGTTTTAAAGGAACCAATAGCAGTCTGGCTTCCCTACACAGTGTTTGGCGCACTGTCAATATGCGGCGGTATACTCGTTCAGCTTCTTCCCGAATCAATCAACCTGCCCCTTCCGGAAACTATCGAAGATGTGGAGGCATTCCCGAGACGACCTTCCCGACCAAGCAAGGTCTTGAAAGATGACGTCAGCACATTTTTACATGATAAATATGGAGCTGATAGTAACTTGAAAAACCCCAATGAGAATGTCACAAATGGTGTACCCAAAAGCGATTCACAGCCGTATATGTCTACTGGTCAAAGTAACCCTGCATACGATTCGTATTATGATGATAAACTTTAATGACGAATCTTTTAATGAGGACACGTTTGAATAATGATACTAAACATCGTCGCTAAGATTAAATAATTTTATATTAGGCGTGGCCAGAAAAGACATGGATCTTAAGATATTTCAGATGGTATGTGAATGAAAAAAATGCAATGGAATTTCATGGCTTTTTCCTATACTTTCTCAGAACCATATTGATATTCCACCTTGAAACTGCAAGATAATATTTATAATATTTGAACTATATAGTCAAAATGATGTAAATGTATATATGGCTTATTTATATAAAGTTTCATGCATGAGTTTGTATGAAAGATCGTTCATACTTGATGAGCGTTATTTTTCAAGTCAAAGTTGTTGTTTATGGATAAACTATGCAAGTGTTTTCATCTCGCATTAGTTCTATAAAAAATTTATGTTATCATTACGTATATTGGAGATTTAATGTGCGGTCGTGTAAATTATTTAACAGTAAATCTCATTCCGTTTATATTTTAAAATTGATGCTGCAATACTTAGCCCCATTGAATATAAGTTGCTTTTTGAAATCATTGAGAAATATGTCACTATCTGCATTAACGAATGTAAAATAATGCAACGATAGAAAAGATTTAACCACACAGTAAAATAAATTGTGTAACTATGGGAAGAGCTGTAACCATCTTAGAGGATCAACGTTGTAATGGAGATTAAAATAACTATCTATTTTCATAAATGTAATAATGGCGCTGTAAATATCTCGTAGAATAAATGTAACTATAGAGACAAATGTAACTCTCACGTAAAATAAAATAAATGTAACTCTGAATCAAGCAGAATAAATGTAACTTGAAGCCAAATGTAAATGTTTAGTAGAATAAATGCAATGTTGGAACCAAATGTAACTATCTAGTGAAATGAATGTAATTTTGGAGAAAAAGTAGCAATCCAAAAGAATAAACTATGGAGACAAATACAACAATCAAGTGGAATAAATGTAACTTTGTAGCCAAAAGTAAATAAATATGTAATAGAATCAATGTAACAATAGAGCCAAATGTAACTAGATAGCACATTAAATGTAACTATGGAGAAGAGTAACTATCTAGTAGAAAAAATGTAACTGAAGAAAAATGTAACAATCAAGTAGATTATAAATGTAACTATATCTTACAGAATAAATGTAACTGTGGAGCTAAATGTAACTTTTTCGTGGAATAAATGTAACTATAGATACAAATTTACAATCTACACTGCTATGCAAATATACTATTTATAGACAACAGAAATAAGATCATGAAATGAAATGTAACTATTGATAAACTATGGAGACAAATACAACAATAAGTGGAATAAATGTAACTTTGTAGCCAAAAGTAAAAATAAATATGTAGTAGAATCAATGTAACAATAGAGTCAAATGCTATGTGATATCTGAAATTATGAGAAAATGTAACTGTGGGTATAAAATGTACATAGGGATATGAATATAACTTTAATGTTGAATAAAATCTATTGAATATTGCATCTATAAAATAAAACCACTCTTTGTTCATTAATATAAGATACCTAACCAAAAACAATCTTTTCTAGAACTGTAACACTTTAAAATAGTTTGGATGCTCATGTATGCACAGGTGTAACTGAATTTGTAATAAGTAAATAACAAAAATGTTGCATGTTCGATAAAAAATATATTTCTTATTTCAGAGCTAATGTTTAAATCAATCATAAAATCATTACAATACTGAAATATTAATCATGTAGTCACATTCATAATACCAAACATGATTTATTATGCTAAATATATTTAATAAACATATGTGTCATTGGTAGACTTATTGTCACATTTTGTAATATATGCCTGATTTTGCAGGCTTTTTATTTGAGCAAATGTCCTTGTAATAATATATAATATCACTGGTTTGTCTTAAGGTCCTCAACGGACAGGGATTGTGCCAACTCAGTCTGAAAAGTAAAAGGTATATCAGATTAATGGACCACCTCTCGTTTTAAGGCAACTGTTAGTTAATCCTACTTTTGTTTGACTCAGTTCTTCACATAACCAATGACATTATCAATCCGACTGATATATCACGGTTTCTTTGTAGTAAAAGTTGGCTGAGTTTATTTGGAAGGTCAATTATTAAATTTTGTACGTTATTTCTTCCAATTTACTGTACGAACAAATAAGTAGTATTTCACAACGGGAGTTGGTTCAGCTCAACTAATGTAATGGTTTTCTTACTTTTACAATCTTGATATTTTTTACAAAAAAGCAATTTGATCCACTTTTCATAATTATCGAACAGTTTTAACTTAAGATTATTTGTACTGCAAAATATGTTTTATTCTATTCTCTACTTGGCATTGAACTTTGAGCAGTGGTAGTCTAACTTAGCATTTGCGAATCCAACCACCGAATGTCAGCTGACGGATTAACCTCAAGTTAAAGCCAAGCTCACTTAAATATGAATTGTAGCAGGTACTATTCATATTTAAATGAGTTGGCCATGAACGTGGTTAATTCGTCAGCTGATAGCCGGAAGTTGAATTTGTAAATGCTAACTTCGCTTGTAATCGTGAATGCAGATAACGGCCGTCGGCTACCAGATTAACCAAATATTTTATGGACAACTCATTTAAATATGAATAGTATCTGCCATTATTCCATTCATATTTAAATGGGTTGGTCATAAAATAGTAGTTTAATCCAGTAGCCGACAGTCTTTATTTGCATTCGCGAATGCAAGCTCAGACTAGGAAGAAGTGTATAAAACCAGCAATGCTTAGTGCTTACAGCATATTTTATTTGGTTAGGATGGTATGGAATTCCGCCTTCAGAATCACACAGTTGCATGTGTTTTCTTTCTGGATCACCAGGCACAAGAACTTCTGTTTCTCCTTCAATCTGGGAACATAAAGTTGAAAAAACGTAACACTGTTAATGTTGGTACTGTCATTAATATGATCATTTAGTTAACTTGTTGAAATCCTGCTTTTTTTAAAATATTTTGTTCCTCATTTTTTTGAACTTGGTCTAACTTCTACGTACTCGTAAATAAATCAATAAAAATATTGTGATATTATTATTACTGCAGACAACCATGAAAGAAAGAAAAAAACTTTATAAGTGACCATTACTAATCTAATAATAATGCATACGTAGATTTGGAATACTACATTAGTGAAGCCTAAAAGAGTATGTATTTTTTCTTTTTTTCTTACCGGTTGTAAGTCTCTCATCTGGTCGTTCAAGGTGGACATTCTGTCAGTGAAACCATCTGCAAACATTGCTGGGTTGATAGCAACAAAACATTGACCCTAAAAAGTTCAATCATTAATGTATTCTTGAATATGATTCTTGGACAGCCAAGAGAGAAATTGGTCCGAAAGACATGCTGATGTCACCTTATACCATACTTCTATTAAAGTATATGTCGTATGCCAATTGGGTGACACCTGATGAAAATGCAAAGTCAGACTTTCTGTATTATAATCAAATCATTGAGATACTTAGATTAATAGTCCACAAGATATTAAATAATAAATAAAAATCTTTAAAAAAACACGTTTATATATGCCTCAATGTTTCTTCATAAAAAATTCTTACAAGATTAGCTTCTTCTGTTTGATGCACCGTATTCCATTTTCTTATGTTGGGTCCAAAGCTGGATCCACTGAGTATTCCACAAAATAGCTCTACCATCATTGCTAACCCATATCCTTTATAACCTCCTAAAAATGCAAAATGGTAGGTATTAAACCTGGACTTGAGTGTTTTGTATAGCAGATATGCGGTTTATAGCGGTGTATAGGGAGAAAAATCATTTGATAAACACTATATCATATGCCTCGTGAAACATATCTTCTGTTTATTTTAATCGGATCATTGAAAACTTAAATAATTGTTTATACGAATCACAATGATAGGCATTCTAAGTACAAAACAGAATATGGCCATCATATTTAAAAAAGCTGTAATTATAATGAAATTTGATTCTGAGTTAAACAAATGATTGTGTATGTAAGAAATGCTTTAAAGATTTTCAGGTGAAAATTTCATGAAAAATTATGGAAAATTGAAAAAGTAATTAGGAAAACAGAGGTGGATGACAATTCTATCCCGGCTACTAATTATCATAAAGTTTATAAAACCAAGAGGACAGTGTGAGACTTGATTTATTCATGCAATTGCTCCAAATTATTTCAAAAGTACAACTTGAAATCCGTGGGATACATGTACTTACCGCATATCTCTGATCCCCCGAGTGGCATCTGTCCCCCTCCATCAAGTACAGCCCCAGGGTCGTTGCTCTCCTGTTAAGAGATACATTTAATGAATTGCAGATGAACTCAATAAATAACCTGTCATAACCTATACATTGTTCTTGAAAGAATGGAATATCTATTTGTGCAACTTCAATTCACATGCAATTAAATCATTATCCAGATGTACAGGGTGGGCCCAAAAATGTTGCAACCATTTAAAAGGCTAGAAAAGTATCATAACATGAAGGTATTGACATAAAAATTGATTTACAGAAAGTTTAGGATAGGCATATTTTATCATTCAAATATCTAAGCTAATACTGACTTCTAATTTTTTTGACAGTTCTTTGAATACCAATGGTAAATTGTTCATGTGTCCGAGATTTACTGTTTTTCCAAGAAAATGTGACTTTTCATGATATTATGTGATCAACTATAACACATTTATTATGTTCACTAAATCTGCTACAATCTTTGATATTTGTTTAACCAATGGCTAGTACAGTTTTATATTAGTATATACTTACTAAGGTATTATGTTATACGGTATCAATTAATTATATATTTAAAAACTTTCCATGCATCCGCCTTTCATCTTCACTATCACACAGACATAAGGGCGGAACTGCAATGGCGCCATTCAGCGATTCTTGCGGTAGTTTCCATTTCTCCTGCAGAACTTCCTTTAGTTGATCAAAAGTTTGTGTGTGGATTACCATTAATTGCAATAAACTGCTCCAGGTGCCTCCATGTGTGATAGTCACAGGGGTTGGCATCTGGTGTATTGGACAGCAATTCATCAGGACTAATAAATCTAAAGGTATCTTCCTCCAGATATTCCAAAGCAACCCTTGCCCGATGGCTGGGAGCGATAGTGAAGGTGAAAGGTGGATGTAAGAACATATGATTAATAATAGTTTTATAGATACAGTATAACATACCATTGTGAGTAGATATTAATATAAAATTGTCCTAGATATTGAATAAACAGTTATCAAAGATTGTAGCAGATTTAGTGAACATAATGAATGTGTTATTGTTGATCACATAAAATCATAAAAAGTCATATTTTCCTGGAAAAACAGTAAATCTTGGACACATGAACAATTTACCATTGATATTCAAAGAACTGACAAAAAATTAGAAGTCAGTATAAGTATAGATATTTGAATGATAAAATATATACTATACTAAACTTTCTGTAAATCAATTTTCATGTCAATACCTTCATGTTGTGATACTTTTCTAGCCTTTTAAAAATGTTGCAAAATTTTTTGGCCCACCCTGTATATGTACAATAGCGAAAGCAACCAAAGTATAATTAAAACATCATTCAATTCAATTTAATTCAATATGGTACAAAATTAGACGATTTAGATCTAATAATGCGTGTCTTATTGATTCAACGTTACAGGGATTGACTTAAACAATTTGAAATGACAAACAGTCAAACAGTGATTACAGTATCTATGTGTACTTAATTTTCACCACGTATCTTAAGTAGTATTGTTTATCATATCATAAGTCTGTTTATACAATGGTAATTGATAAACTATAAAATAGTGTTTTCATACCTGTCCTTCTTTATCTACTCCCCAACCATTTGGCATCGAGGTCTCCTTACGTTTTGCAAGCTCTATCTGAACAAATGAGAAGGTAAATTTAAATGTGAGACGATAATAACATATACTATGATTTATCCAAGGAACCATATTTTCACTATAGTATTAATTGTCACCAAATAATAAGATTTATTGAGTGCCAAAGAGTAGCAAATGCTTATATTAGCACTGAACAGTTTTTACTGACACTGGAATTCCGCGAGGTGTATTATGGCATATGTATGACTTTTCAAAATTTACTTTTTAAAACTGATTTTATTTTTATATCAATGAATTAACATGCGTTCGAGTAGTTTAATACTATTTTAACTATACTACAAACTACAAGCGCATCGTTTATATCAATAATATGACGTATATGTGTGACGTCAGACCATCTTACTTTTCCTAATGCCACTGTGGATGTTGCCATGTCAAGGACAAAGCTGTCATCATTGTTTGCAGGTGCTGCTACCGATATAGGGTTAGTCCCCAAGGCAGGCTGAAATAAAGATAGAACAATGCATTAAGATGCAACATTTCACTACCTGCCATTTGTTACAGACGACGAACGAAAACCGCCCAGAAAAATTGGAAACTATAAAAATATGTGAGATATTTAACTATTACAGCCTCTGTGTTATGTGCGATTATTTTCACAAAATTTTATATTCAGTTTTTATTTCCACAAAATTGGAGAATAAAACTCAGTGTAAGTGTATCTAAACCTAAATTTAATATGACTTAATCATTGTTTAATAAAATGATAATATTATTTTAAATATATACAGAATGGGTGTTGGTATATGATGATATCACTAGAAATTGTCTAATATTGGGTTTATCTTATGATAACAATCAACAATTCAAAATTGTTTATCATACGGATATGCGGCTAATACAACGATATTTGAGAGTTTAAGCAATGCATATAAAATCAAAACGTCAACCTGTGCGCACAAGATGCCCTATGCGTAGTTTTCTCACCAAAATAGTCATTCAGTTACAGTGTTTACTTAGTCCGTTACACAGACTACACATCATCGTGCAATATGCCATTAATAGTTATATAGCTAGTTTTCTATGGTACATATTTTAAACAAGCTCGTTTCGTAAGAAATATGTATGACGCACATCATTTTCTCCAGAAAGCATTAATACTGTGAATCGAAATCAAAATTGCCAGCATAGTATTAAATATAAGTATATTGAGTATAATCCTGTTGACACCAACGCAAATCTCAGTCGCAGGTCTGAAGCTGATCGGGTATTTGAAGCAGACTAAGTAGCGCTTGTTTTGCAGGCCCGTAGCCAGGGGGGGTTCGCAGGGTTCGGGCGAACCCCCCCCCTGGCCAAAAATTCTTTCAAAATCATGCAGTTTTTCACAATTTTGAGCACTTTTCAAGTGATTTTAGCCATATTTGAGCCAAAATTGTAAAATGTGAACCCCCCCTGGAAATTTCTGAAAACTGATCATATATAAATATCGCTAGCTTAAACCCTCTATTAGCCGCATATGGGGTTGATAAACGATTATCTGAAAAATATCACATGGATCTCCATAATATCAGAAATATCATTCACCCTTTAATTGTAAAGATTAATTAACACAAACTGATATGACAATAATCGTCTGATATTTGCGTATTGTTGTCAATTATGGAGAATATGTTTTTGTTTAAAGCGGGAAAGGCCCAAAAGCTGTTTTCCAAATGAAAGCAGCAAATGCTTATTGTAGGAAAGTGGGTGCTTTATACTATTAAATATAATGCTTGAGTAAACATTGTATAAGTATGCAGCATTTGGCGTGTATCAATAACTATTGCATTTTAGCGTGATTTATTAATTTATGGGTGTCTTTACATACCACAAGTGCCCTTGTTGGTACAACATTAGGAGATGTGCTAGTATATGCCATGCCCTATAATACAATCAAGCATAGAATTGTTAATAAATCTAATCGCATCTGCATACCTTTCTAGCTCGACATGGCACAACCAAAGGCGATGTGTTGCAATAGGCCATACCCTGGAATTGTAAAATATTCAAAACATGAAATTGATAAAGGCAGTTCAGCCAGTTATACATACGAGAGTCGTTCAATAAATACACATATAAAGGCTCTTAATTTCATGTTTTTAACTTGACCTCCCTATGAGCATGAATTATGTTTTATCATATTGAACGCCTCTCGTATATGTGCAACTTATTTTAATCTGTTTTGTCTCTTTTGTCGTTGCCTGTGCAAAGCGTAGATAAAATCAAATTAATCAGGGCATTAAGATTTATGTAACAACTTAAAATGACAAATACATTTAGCTTCCCGCATATCGAAGATATGTTGATGCACTTTAGTTAAAAGTGTGCGTTCGTCATTTTGATGTATATTAAATAGTATGAGATAAATCTAGGCTTGATGAAATTAAATGTTCTTTTTAAAATGATGGCAGCTTAAACATGCATACCGATAAATAAATACAGGAATAAAAAGATACATACCACCATTCCTTCTTCTACAGCTCTGATACTGTACCATCCAGCAATACCAAAGTGATTAGAGCCTGGGAAAGAGAACAATCTTTTGCATTTGCTACAGTCCAACCGTTAAACCATTTATCATCGGAAACTATCACCTCAAAGAACATTTACATAGTCAATTTTCAAAGAATACTTAAATGGTCTACGTTCAAAGAGTATTTACATAGTTAAAATTAGACAATGAAAATAGGTAGTCTTGCTCAAAGACTGTATCCGCCCCCCGTCACCTTCACTCTCTTTACCTGGCAATATACAGAGAGAAGGATAAAGGGGGGGGGGGGGAGTACAGGGTCTTTTAAGCAAGACTAGAAAATAGGCATAGTAATCTTTAAAATTATATTGTTATACCTTTTGCACATACCCATCCTATACCGACATCTTTGGCTTTCTTTATGGCAAGTTCAATACAAAACTTTCCTACTACGGGACCTGAAAGAATGACGGAAGAACAGCATAATAGTTTTTACTCAGCAAGTTATCATATGAAAGATTATATTAAACGGTTTATCATTACAAACTTAGAAAGAAGACGATCCTAAATTATTTTTGTGATGCCAAATAATTATTTTGAGTTTCTTGTTACCAACTACAACTTCTAAGTTTATGATTATCACATTTATATTCAATTTGTGAAACAAATAAAATGTATACGATTACCTAGAATATTATTTCCGTTGACAAACGCAGTGGCAACAGTCTCTTTTTCTATCGTAGGTTCCTTGTTACCTACAGTGGTGCCGCCCTTGATATCGTTGATGTACATAGCTATTGGAGAGAGAATATACGTCGATGAGGACATTTAACCTGTTCCAAGTGAGTAAATGGAGAAGTATAACATTAAATATTTTGTATTGCTCAATGAAAAATTGTATTTTGCAGAATGATTTTTTTGCGCAATGCAAAGTGGAAGGTAATACACTGCAAAATCAAATTGGAAGTAAAAATTGTAATATCTACTGCAGAATTAAATGATGCACATTCAAGAATAAAATGGTGTACTTTCATGAATAATATGACGGTGTACACTCAAGAATAAAATGGTGTACATTCAAGAATAAAATGGTGTACATTCAAGAATAAAATGGTGTACTTTCAAGAATAAAATGGTGTACATCCAAGAATAAAATGGTGTGCATTCAAGAATAAAATGGTGTACTTTCAAGAATAAAATGGTGTACTTTCAAGAATAAAATGGTGTACATTCAAGAATAAAATGGTTTACATTCAAGAATAAAATGGTGCACATTCAAGAATAAAATGGTGTACATTGAGGTTTGAAATGTAATACATTGCAGAATAGAATAACTGTATTTTGTAAAGTGAAAACATATTTCCTAGCCTATCCTTGGCCATTCATCCACTATTTCATGATTTCTTTGGTGGATATTCGATAACATTTGATATTGTGTGTGCTATATGGAATATATGTGAGACAAAAACGCACATAATCAGTGATATGACGTGCACGGACCTGGGGACAATATTCGGGAAATGCGGGCTTATCTCAGCTTTGAACGTTAATCTCTGCCTTATTTAAAAGCCCAACTATGTGTTTTACATATCATTTTGAAGTATTTTTATTCGCATTTCAATGAAATTATTTTTCCTTCAAAATTTTGATGGGATCCAACACATTTTTAAAGTTAAATATACTCCGACATCGTCAAATACGCTGTAAGACGTAACACTTTACGCTTACAGGGCTCGTTGACTCGGAAATTGAGATAACTTTTGAAATAATGATCAAAATCCCACTTAAATTTCACAATTTATTCAATGGAACATTTGCATTTATGACGTCACAATTGCTTAACGGCTACATTTCAAATTATCTTATACGAACGCTTTTAAAATTTTCAAAATTGTGTAAGGTTTTGAAGGCGAATGGGACGAGCAATAAGTATACCTTCATTTAACCTTCTAATTTAGGTCTGAATTGAAAGAAAATTTAACTGCACAATATTGTCATGGCGAAATTTACAAAACAATAACCGGTTTGTTTATTTTGCAAATAATATCAAAATAAGAGCTGGTTTTCGAGACTTGAAAAAATGTGACGCATCGATTTTTTACCACAAATTCCATACACATCAATTTTTACTAACGCCCCAAGTGGATTTCTTGACCGTTTTTCAAAATTCAAAAACATTTTAGAAATATTGTCCTCGAGATCTTGCTACTCTGTAAATTTTGTAATGATTAGATAAGGATAAAGTATTTTATTTTTAGGTTGACTAAACTTGTAAAAAATGTGATGCTTGTCGTTTTTGACGTTGTAAGGCTGTTTGCGCCCTATACTGCTCATTGTTTTGTTTTGTTTTTTGACGCCATGATGTTACGCTAATTGTCCCCAGTTTCGTGCGACGTGTATGAATCATCATTTGCATTTAATTGTGCTTTGAAGTTCACAGTGGATTATGGGCAATCTGCACCGGATTGGCTTTTTTTGTGTTTCGGATTTTTGCGCATGCGCAAAATAGACTTCATTCCCACCATTCTTTAGTTGCAGTTTATGTCGACAAACGTTGTTACACGTTTCAAAACAGTTTGATATTCCTTATTGGTTGTTAAATCTAAGGCGATTCTATCAACTAGGACTGCGTGTAAAGATCAATGAAGGTGCGTTTATTATGTTAACATCAATAAAAAATACCCGGTCGGGGAATTTAAAGGCGAATTCAAAACAACAAAGAGTGTCTTATCAACCCAGAATGCCACTTAAAAATTTCACACATGTATAGACTAGCAAAAAACTTAGCCCCATCGTGGAGAAACACTCTGGTATAGTGGTTAGGGTGCTCGATCTCCACTTCTGCGGCGTGGGTTCGATTCCCAGACGGAGCACTTCTTATTTTGAATAACAAGCCGGAAGTTTATTCTCCGAGGTCTGGAAATTATGTACACAATTTTTTCTAGAATTCTTGGGCTTGCTCAATCATCAATGTTTAATGAAATTAATCACTTGTATTGGCTTTGCTATAGTCATGAGAATACAGGGAATCCCATTTTAAGATGGCAAAAAGTATGATGAAGACCTGGGGATGAAAAAGGATCTTGTTTCTTCTAGATCAGCACATTTTGACGCAGTTTATCGTGAATGCAGGGACATCAGCCAAGGGACATCACAGAATACACTTCCAAATATATTGCTCATTAGATTTCAATGCTGATTTTAGAATTTTTCACGTGACAAGATATTTTTGTATAATATTTTCCTCACAAGTGAGAATTTAAGCACATGAGAGAGCACAAAGAAAATTTACAGTACAAGAGCTGAACTGTCGAGGAAACAGCGGCTTATGCAACACAACAACAACACTTTTATCCTAGCCTCCACTCCATCAATAAATGTCTATACATCAAAATCTTTACTAAACGGACGTTGTGATTTATAGTGGATAAAATGGTAAAAATAACATTTTTCTGGCTATATACGTGATTGCCTGGTCTTACACCTTCTCTGGTGAACCAGAGACATATACCAGGTCGTTCAATAAGTTCACGGAAAAATGCTCTCATTTCAAAGATTTTTGATATTTTCTCATGAAATTTTCACACAATGAATAAAAAATACTTTCTGATTGAATATCAAAATATCAGCATCTCTTATTTGATTGGTCAAAAATAAGGGTTACTATGGTAACTTGACTCTTGGGTATGCGGGGCACTTTTTACGTCACATTATTCATTAGAAAAACAACAGAATAGTAGGCAGTTTATGAGTATATCACATGAATTTCTTCTCCGCTTTCTACTTGTACATGATATTACTTAATGCAATAGTTACAACTATTGTCACATAAGGTTTCAGAAATATTCTCCCTCATGTTTAATGCACAGTCGCTTGCATTCAGCCCATTGATGATACATTGCTCTGAAGCCATCTGGAAAACTTGTTTAAAAGGCAATCTTGACTGCAGTCGAAAGTTCCATAAAGTGCACCTCTTAGCTGATCCTTCATCCTAGTGAAAACAGCAAAATCAAGGATTGTCTCATCTGCAGAGTATGTAACTTGGGGCAGCTTTGCCATCTATTTTGCCAATTAATTGAGATGGTTTCTTGCACAATATTAGCAGTGTGATCGGCTGCATTATTACTATGGAAAAATTTAGAGTTTGGCTGGTGGTTAAGTTTTAATCAACTTTCCATAGCATAGGCTGTACTCTTTGTTGATTTTCTGGTCCACTGGTACAGCATTGACTAGCACGATTTCAGAAATGTTCGTGATAATAAGGAACATCAATTTTCCCTTTGAACATTTGTAATATAAATAAGAACAAATAAAAAATAGGGATCCTTCATTTGCACATATTGATAGATATATGTAATGGTAAATTGTGTGACGTAAAAAGTGCCCTGCCTACCCAAAAGTCAAGTTACCATAGTAACCCTTATTTTTGACCAATCAAATTTGAGATGCTGATATTTTAGGAATCAATCAGAAAGTATTTTTTGCACATTGTGTGAAAATTTTATGGGAAAATATCAAGAATCTTTGAAATGAGAACATTTTTCCGTGAACTTATTGAACGACCTGGTATTTTCGATATATGCATGAGTCCGTTCAAAATCGATGTTTGAACCATTAAAAAGCCAAATTTAGACTGAGGATTGAAAAGGTTCTTTTATTTCTCTCGGTAGACCGGAAGTAAATTTATGAGTCGAGCAAAAAGTGATAATGTTTTTTATGAAGTGGGGAAGTCAAAACAGTACTAATAGAAGTCATAGTAAGCATTAGAAGATCATTTAAAACCATATAAATCAAATCGACGGCAAAGTTAGTTGAAATGACTGAAATCTTTATATGTTATCTTCTTCATCTTCGCGGACCTCAGAGAAGACACTTCCGGTTTAATAATCAGTGATTTTATCGATCAAAAAAATCTTCTTTTTGAATTTGTCTGATATCTGCTAATATGGTATGTATATTTGTGCTGATTGTTGAATTACAAAATAGGTTGGGTATAGAATATGTGAAAGTCGTTTGATCTTGTCCAAGAAGCAACATTTCGTCATTTCTGTCGCCTGGAATTCCTTTAAGGCTCTCTAGCAGAATTGGCTATCAAAATGCTAAAGAGCCTTAAAATTTAAGGCTCTTTAGCCAAAATGCTAAGAACCTTAAAATTTAAGGCTCTTTAGCATTTTGGTAACCCATTTGGCTAGAGAGCCTTAATTTTTAAGGCTCTCCAGGCACGGCCTATATTCTATTGCCACACTCGTGGCCATAGAATATGAAAGGGTAGAGCTCCCGTTTAATAATAGATTGCATTGCCATCTATAAATGTAAAGGCAATTTAAAATGGCTTATATGTGCGCATGCGTGTTAAAACTAATAAAAATGCGAGCCTGGCGCAGAATGTCCCTTGTAAACGGTGGGAGTAAACATCAAACATGTACGTACCTAGACGGTTCAATCCATGACTAAAGTGACCGCGGTAATCGGCCGATACCAGAAGATCTGAAAGTGATACAGCGTGTTCCTTTTTTGCACCGACTGCAACCATACACCGGACTACAAAGGCGTGTACTTCATCCTTTTTCACGAATACAGGAGCTGGCTCCTGGTCATTGTTTGCCATTTTACTGAATAGTTTATTTGAGTTCAAGGTCGAATTGATTAAACCGTTTATGTTGTTCATATCCAGATATTTGAATCTGAAGATTCGCCTGCATATCGACCCCATGTCAGAACGTATTTGATGTCTCGAACAATTCGGTAGCTAATTTACTTCGATCTCTTTGAACCAGGAAATGATGTACACTAAATCGTAGAGTACTTCCTTATCCGCCATTTTTAAAGTTCATTGGACGAGTTAAAAAAAGAGTAGGGGTGGCAGATTAAATAAAGCTGTTTGCATTTCATCTTGATCTGGAGACCGATATGATGACGAAAATCGTAAGCCTCCTGAAGAATGTATATAGATGGAAGGAGGATTGGACGCCGTTATTCAGACTTGGTCTTCCGTTGCTTGGTGTAGATCAACTTAGTAACAATATTACTCATATTTCGAACACGAGAAATACTTGGTCCAAAGAAAACCCTACAGCCTATTTTTACTAAATTGTCATACACAGGCAAAGGCCGAAAGGAATAATTTGAAAATAAAGATGGCATGGTAATCGATCTGTGTTTGTTTATAAATATTCTCTCCGAAGAGGAGGGGAAGCCCCAGAGTTTAAAGATGACAGACATAATTACCTCTCTTGCTTACCACCTTCGTTCGTTCGAATTTTCAACGGCTGGTTATCAAATACTACACTTCGATGGGATGTTTTAATTGATATAGGCATATTCCGTACACCTTTCTTTATCTTGATGTAAAATGAGAAGCTATGATATTGGTTAACACGCCAGAAATGAACATAATATTATTCAAAGCGTATTTCGAAAATTTTGAAACCGCCATTGATGACGTCATTTGTTTGTCGACTTTTGACCAATCAGCGACGATGTCATCTCAATACAGATTTACATTATAAGCGTATGTCATCTTTGAACCCTGGTGTTTCTCCCCCTCTGTTCTCTCCGGAGAGAAAAAGATAATATTGGATTCTGTTGGTGCTGCCATCTTTATATCGGTCCAGAACCTATGAGAGGATCAAGTTTAAATAGTGGCCACCTGGTGGCTGCCAATCCGGCTGCCAATCATTATTCATGTTGCTATATGAATGTTTTTATTAGGTGAAATTTGCTAACTACCATCTTTATATCGGATTAAAACCCCTGATTTAATTGTGTATACATCGTAAATGTCATAGCCCGGTGTCATAGGTTCTTGGTCGATATGAAGATTTAAGATAGCAGCACCATCAGAATCCAGAATTTTTAGAACACAGATCGATTACTATGCCATCTTTATTTAAAAATATTTCTATCTACAAATAGGGTCAAGATTGCAGTTAAAAATCCGATTTAGGATCATTATAACGTTTCATTTCATAATGTATTCATGGGCACAGATCTAGCTAAGCGAAACAGCAGGGGCGGATCTGGGAACCAACAAGGGGGGATTTCAGGTCTGAGAAAAAAACGCCTAGTGTGTATGGTTCCGGTGTATGGTTGCAGCCAGTCTCCTAAAACGAAAAAGTGGGCCCAAAGAAGTTGTATCGATATGGTGAAACTTTTGAAAACGCGTTTCTCTTAAACCAGTCATCAAAATCGTTTGTGGGTAAACTAGCCCCGGGAAATTGGCATATATTTCCGGAGATAAATTTTGACCAATGATTACCATAGCCATTTTCAAATATATGCTAGCACCCCTAGTTTACATACACTCCCCTCCATAAGTTTGGCAACCTTTTTCCCCCATTGAACTACGTGTTAAAGCCTCTTTACCTTTGAATTTTTATTTACTTAACCTGCCATGAAATAACTTATAATATTGATGGAAACGTAACTTGACTTTATTTCCAATACCTCCAAATTTTCTCAATTTTTTCCCTCAATTACAATAGGTCGACAATTGATGATAAATTTGATGAATTTTTGAAAATCGTCATTCCCATGTAATCCAATGGGAAATGGAGGGTTCGGGGCAAATCAGAAATCAGGATATCTTTTCAGTAAAAGATTCAGCAAAAAATATTTTATATAGAAAATTGAATTGTCTAATTTTTATTTACTTAACCTGCCATGAAATAACTTATGATATTGATGGAAACGTAATTTGACTTTAATTGCAATACCTCCAAATTTTCTCAATTTTTTTCCTCAATTACAATAGGTCGAAAATTGATGATGAATTTGATGATTTTTTGAAAATCGACATTCCCATGTCAACCAATGGGAAATGGTAGGTTTGCCGCAAGTCATATGACAGAATATCCATCCATCCGAGTCCTTGCAAAAAATACCACAGCAAAAAATGTGAATCAAACCACTGAATCCTGGAGTCAGGATTCATACAGGATTCATATGCACATATGAATCCTGTATGAATCCTGCCTCCAGGATTCATACAGGATTCGCTGTTTAAATAGTTTACAAATGAATCCTGCCTTCAGGAATCATACAGGATTCATATGCAATATAGTTTACAAATGAATCCAGCCTTCAGGATTCGTACAGGATTCATATAGAAGGTAGTTTGCAAATGAATCCTGCCTTCAGGAATCATACAGGATTCATATGCAATATAGTTTACAAATGAATCCAGCCTTCAGGATTCGTACAGGATTCATATAGAAGGTAGTTTGCAAATGAATCCTGCCTTCAGGAATCATACAGGATTCATATGCAATATAGTTTACAAATGAATCCAGCCTCCAGGAATCATACAGGATTCATATGCAATATAGTTTACAAATGAATCCTGCCTTCCTGAAGGCAGGATTCATTTGCAAACTACCTTCTATATGAATCCTTACATCGTACGTATCTGGATTTCGTTCATAATTGATTAATCTGTTAATGCGTTCCTCTAAGTAAATGAAACAATCATCACATCGTGTTTATAAGTGTAATTCAAGGGCGTATAATCTAACATGTCTAATGCTACTCATTTCATGGTATTACTTTCCGATCATTTGATAAAATAGAATACAATCAACATGTGGAAATCACGGATGACGGGAAAAACAATATTGTATAAATAGAATATATTTTAATAAGAGATTCGTAATGTAAGAGATTCGATATTTAACAGATATTTAGAATGAATTGCAACATTATATTCCAAATTCATGAATAAACTGTACGTATCTGGATTTCGTTCATAATTGTTTAATGGTTCCTCATAGATAGTAATAAAGTCATCACATCGTGTTCATTAGTGTTAATTCGAGGTTGGATAATGTTTTTATAATATGATGTTATAATTTTACATTTTATTTGTGTGTCTGAGTGAGGCTAAATTGAAAGTAAAACCTGTATAATCAGACGGGCAAATCACGATGAGGACAAATAATTATTTAAATTAGTAAGATAAGTCTGTACATGTAGATTGTTCGTTGAAGTTGGACCGTCGGTGACTTTTATTCCTAGATTTCGTATCCCTCTCAAACAAATAAGTCAAAGCCAAATATAGTTGAACTGTTTTCGGGATTATTATTCATTTGTTGTAATACAGATTGACTTATAGACTGATATTGTAATGGGTTGTGCTTGGGATTCACAGAATTATTCTATGATAGTCTCAGGATATATTGAAATGCGGATGTTTACATTAAAGATCTTGCTTTCAAACAAAAATATTGAAGTACTAAGATCGGATATTAGCGTACCCCAGTGGAAAAGAATCAAAAGATATTCCAATTTAACGCACTGCACAATAATTTGTCATTTTGGAAATTCGTCAATATGACCTTACCATTTTGATCTTAATAATTTAAAATTTAAACAAGCGCTACCCCCCCCCCCCCCAGAACTAGCCTTCCCGGTAAAGCCAATACGACAGATATCTAAGGAAAGTTTCATTTTTATTCTTGATTTCTCTGACTCGGAATAGTTGAAATGATAAACATAAATTGCAATTATTATTACTTTGCTCTTTCATTTTGCTCAGTCATGATCAACGCCTTCCTTAAATTTTCTGTCAGATCATCGATCCCAGACTTCAGCAAATATTCCAATCATATTTTGCGTTTTATCGTCTTTCCCAAAAGCTATACGAATATGGTACTACAACTACTTAATGACAGTGGTTTATCGTTATTTTTGCAAATATGGATGTTTACACTGCTTGAATCTTATTCTAGGAAGTTTTATAGAGACGGGACTTCCTTTTCACAATGCAATTATATCTGTTTTGTAGGTTCCCGTGGGTAAGATACACACAAGAACAATACGGCCCATCCAAAAGGGACAGATCCGTCAGTGGCGTTCTTCAAATTATAGCCCGTGGAGATATAGTTTATGAATCTTGCCTCAAGTGACGTGTTAAATCCCATATTGGGTTTGAGAAAGGGCCCGTATACACAGCCCGATACACAGTTGCTCGATACAAGTGCAAACTATAAAATAACCATAATATAACAATTATAGATAAATGTTTGGCATGCATTGTTTCTGTTTAATTGTTAAATTATTTGATAACTTATAATAAGCAGATAAGTTGCTTTTCAGGTATTAAGCGGCGATTAAGGACTGAAAACCAGCGTCACACATTTCTTCGGATATTCCTCCATAAGCAGATATACCTGTTTGCATGTTTTAATTTTGATTTGATTTGATTGTTTGAATTAGATAAAGTCTTTAAAATGTTACTAGTGTTTGGGGGGGGGGGGGCTGAGATTTCATGTAGGAATTAAAATTAGAATAAGATTTAAATACGATCTGTTTTGTTTGCATCGTTGTATAACGTTGATAAAACACAAAGGGCAGCATTGGAATTACAAAATTGTGCGATTCCCTACCTCCCAAAATTATTCAAAATTATATTTCTGTCATTCTGATTTCCGTGTCGGGACATTCTGATCTATTAGAGTCTCACTTTATCTAACGCTTTGGTATTCCAAAGGATTGTACTTGCCCGGGAGTACTTGCTGTATATCACGTCGGGAGATTAAACCTCCTGGATTAAACCAGTGAATGTTCCGATCGTCGTAACATTCGATACACCGAGAGATTTCCCAGATTCATACATGCATACTGTATATTCAGCAGGAATTTTACATACTTTATCATTCCCTTCTTAATATATCGTATAATATTTGTATTCTGTTTCACAGATTCCCCTTGAAATACAAGGTAGACTAGATGCGAGTAGAAATAATTTTGATTTACGTCATTAAATATTCAAAATTCAGTCAAAGTGATGTCATAATTTGAAATCTACATGAAAAAGTACATCTAAAAATACGGTTTCGAAAATTGTTTATCAAATTTGAAAATTACGACAACACGGGCAATATATGGCAGGTTAAATGAGTCGTCAAGATTATAACACGCCGGTCTTTATGTTACAGTTGATGAAAGTACAATGTCAAAATCTCATGATGATTTCTTCCGACCTGTGTTTACTGACAAGGTGGGGTGCGCAGTTGTTGAAGCGAGTATAAACTAAGAAAAATCCAAAGTCCGATAATTAATTAATTGGCA